ACACACACACACCCACACACAGCCTTCTTATTACCCCCAACATGCACTAATATGCTCACACGCTTCAGCTACAGTTAAGCTATCCACTCTGTGAAAGGAGGCTAATTGTTTTAGAGGGGAGCTGACGTTCAGGGGGTAGCCATCTCCTACGTTAAACAGACATATGGCCGTGGCTTTTCCCTGATTAATACCCATTATCCTTCTGCCCACTGACTGCCTGGCTGAGCTGCCCAGACACACACACGACACAACTCTAATGGGCTTACACCCCCCGACGGATGTACATTAAAGCTACACAGAAGATAATGTGGCATGTTTGTGTTTTTCATGTGTGTTTGCGTGTCTTGTCATCTGTTTTGAGATCTTCATTACCGCCAGCATTAATTGACAACACTTGTCACAACATTTCTATTGTCCTGTTGGACACCGGATCTGTATTCAGCACGTTAACCTTCCCATATGGAGGAAACAATGGCTGCTGTGTGTGTCGATACACAAGTGTGTGCCTGCAATGTGCCCAACTTCTGCACAAAGGAATGCCCGTCACCCATGCGCCACACTGGGCTCTGTTTGCCAAAAGCCCTACTATCTGTGGGGGTGAGGGGGTGTGTTTATGTGTGTGTCACCATCTGTTGTGGGGTCCAGCGCGGTCGCAGGTGCTCAGAAATGGTGCGTGCTGGGGTTGTGGTAGGTATGGGAGCTGAGCCTGATACAGGGAGGGTATCAGGGGGTATTGGGGCAGAAAACATGTATGTACGTATTAGAGTGTGTGGTGGGGTATGAGGGGCAGTTCCTCGAAAGAACCCATTGCTCTAGCTGAGTAATATGCAGCCCTGACAAAGAGCTGTAGAGCTACAGTAATTGCAGAGCACATAGTGGACAGGGAGGCAAGAGAGGGAGGGAGGGAGGGAGGGAAGGGAGAGAAAAGGAGGCCTGAGTGTTTGATCAAAGTTTACCAAAGTCTGAGGAGATTTGCATACAGATGGTACTGTAGCCCGGCCCCTGGAATACCTTTCCCTCTCTTTATTTTTCTTTCTTGGTCTCTCTTTCCCTCTCTCTATCTCTCTCTCTCTCTCTCTCTCTCTCTCTCAGTCACACACACACACACACACACACACACACACACACACACTGGCACACAAATGTAATAGGGTTTCATTGAAGAATCCATGAATAGCCTTTCAAGAGCGTGTTCTGAGGAAGAAACGGCCTTGGCTGCACAACACAGCACCTAGAAAAAGAAAGAAAAAGCAAGGGAGTGGGGTAGAAAAGGAGAAAAAGAAGGAGAGATAAAAAAAAGTGAGAGAAAGGCAATGATTAAGATAGGGGACGGAACAAGAGGGAATGGTAACAATAGGAAGAAAGAAGAGGGAAAGCCTCCATGAAGCACTAATTATAAAAACAAATTCACCCAGTACAGTTTACCTTGTCATCAAATGCATCCACTGATATAATATATCTGACATCCATTCACCCTGTCATATCCTCGGTACATATTGATTTTGAACGTCATTGTTGTGTGCGCATTGATCACAAAAGTGCTGTCCTCTAAGTAAGTTACATATTTCTCTGAAGCCATTGTTTTGGGGCAAGCTTCTGGCAATTAGCCTGCTGTGCCAAGTGTCCTCACAATGTGTCTGTCAGCGCCCAAGCTCCTACACAACATGACATCTAACAGTTAAAGCTACAAGCATGTCCAAAACCAGCCCGAACTCGCTGTCAGCTGCTGCGCTGTTTAACAGTATATTAGGGTTTAATGTTTGAATATCAACAGACGCCTCAATCATCGTGTTACACACGTTAATTTTAGAGTCACTCAGCTGTCAGTAAGTCATTTATAAAGCATTTTTCAAAACAGTAGTTACAAAGTGCTTAAGAGAAAATAGAAGAGACAAGAGACAAGATGACAAAAAAACATGGGTACAAACTGCACAAACCACAAAATCTAGACTTATCAAAATCTAAACAAAACGCCCAAGTGAATTCTAAAGAGTCAGTTCACCCAAGCTCACAATAAACATATTTTCACTTATCTCTAATGGTATCTAGCCATGTAGATATGAATGACATTTTTGTGAAAAGTTTGTATTCCCCACAGCACTGAAAAATTATAATAGCAACATGTAACTTGCCTTAGTTAAGTGGAACAATCCACAGACCTTGTTTTGTAACAATTTTTCCTTTTGAAGGTATTTTTTGGGGCCTTTTATATATTTATTAGAGAGCTGACAGTGATTAAGAAAAAATGAGCAGGCAGAGAGAGATGGGGGATACAGCAACGGTCGCCGGGCCAGACTCAAATCAGGGATGTTGAGTTTCATGGTCAGTGCCTTAAATCCCAATACCATGAGCCACAAGCGAAGCTGTGGAACATCTTCATTTGAACATTTACCCTACATCTACCAAAAAGAGAAATATTCCCATGAAAACTGTTTATGGAAATTAAACATTGCTATTGAGTTTTTTAAACGTAGCTTTTCAATTCTGGACCACAAACCAAACTCCATTCACCACAATTACTGGAGTGGAGCCAGAAAAGCCCAGACCCAGAGAAGCATACCTATAACCTGAGCACATAAAACAAAATGCATCTGCATGATAAGAGACTGTAACTAGTCACTGAGAAATATGGGGTCCTTTTAGCGTTTTTAATACTAATACAGGCACATTTTGCCCGTTCAGCAAGAATCTGCCTCCACACCCCAACTAAGAAACGCCACTCTGACTAAATGTACTCATTTTTCTGATACAACGCTCAAATGTATATGTATATTGAAATAAAAACCGAAACAAATGGGCGACGAAATTCACAGTCCTCATTGGACCAGGTAAGGGGTTCAGTATCTTGCTCACAGACCCTTACTCGAGCTGGGTTAAGACCGACTTTCCCACCATTACTCTGACGGGATTGAAAACCTCCTTGTCATCATGTAACCTTCCATCCGCATATTAGTTTAAGCCTTCTGTAATGAAGGCATCAGCATTTCATCACTGCTATGCCCTGTTGCATATGGGTGGGCTACAAGATAAAGCATTTATTCTGGTGAGTATAAGTAAACTGGCCTACTGTAAATATTGGGATTCACACTTACAGCAGGGCTCATTAATGTAGTGGCCATATGTAACAACACATATCCTTCATGTTAAAGTGCCCCTTCCTCTTTTAACAAGTGTATGTCTCTACCAGTGTGGGTCTGTGCATAAGAGTTGATTTTTCGCCAGTTTGTGTCTATGCGAGTGCACGCTCACACCTCCCTTTTTTGTAAGTGTGTTTATGCATATGTGCACATGTATGTGTTTATTTGGAGTAATCACTGGGGCGCTTCTGTGTTTGTACATTTGTATCAAGACTGATTCATGACTGTTCCTTCAGAGGAAACAGATAACAAATGGTTTTCTGGTCCAATAAACACCGTCTGCCAGTAAACTGAATTAGACTAAACTAAACAATTCACTGCATGCACCTTCAACACGAGGCTGAATGGATGGCTGGCTGGGAGGCTGCCCTGTACTGTGGTACAACTCAATGAGAGA